GGCATCTGGCCCATATGCACATCGAGCTCTCCTTGGTGCTGACATCAGCCAGTTTGTGGCACCTCAGCGTATTTCTGGGTTGCAAATGAGAGTTTCTTAGTGCCAGGCTTCGCTCGGGCTGTCACATCGGGTGATGAATTCTCTGCATCAACGGTGTGCTGCTAAGGTAAGCTCAGAGGAAGAGCCGGAAGGAGCGGAGGGTGGGACTAGCAGTTCTCAGCTCAGCAGCCACTCCTCTGGGCTGAAAGCGGTGCTGGATCCTCAACAGCAGGGGAGAGGCAGGTGGCCCTTGTTTGGGCTCGGGAAGGTGGCAGAGAGAGAGAGAACAGGGACAATTCCGTGTTCTCGCGTTTGGTCAGGAGAACCCACGTGGGTGTTCCCATCCCCCACTGCCCCATCCCTGGCCTCAGAGCTCGCTGTGCCTCGTCCGACAGGCAGGCTGCGCCTTATCTATTAGAGGGGGTCCCAGCAACATTGGGTATATATCAATTACGTGCCAAATTCATTCGGGCAGGATGTGGAGTCCGTAGCCGTTTGTTTGTTCTGAAATGTTTTGTTCCCAAATCCCTTTCTTTAATTTGTGTTTGAAAGTCCGGGTTTTCTTGTCCGGGAAACCGTGTGCATTTTGTCCTAATTGTGTATTCCTTTGGCTTCCTCCTCCAGGAGGTTCCATGATGAGCCCGCTGCTGGCTTAGGCTTCATCTGGTGGAATTAAATGTGAGATCAGGCCTCGCTTCCAGGCCACAGGCCGCAGAATTTCCTGTACGACTAGCTGCGAATGTAAAGGCTCCTGCAGGAGGCATGTTCCTAGAGATAACAAGGGCACACTTGGTTTTGCAGATTTCACCTTCCCACCCCCGTGAGGCCTCAGTGCGCTTCCGACATCAGCATTTTGAAGGGAGTGTGTCTGTTCTAAAGGGAGGTTTGCATCCGAAGATGAGTGAAGGCGGAAGTTGGGGCGCAGAAGAAAAATCAGAAGGAAAGTCTTATTTCTTGCCACCCCCCGCCCCCACGGTCGCTAATGAGACCATCCTCCCTGCTCCCTGCGCCCGCCCCAGAGATAAATAAACACACAAAGGCGGAGTTTCCTACTTAATATGCACCCGCAGTCAGGAAGCGGGAAGGAATTGCTCCCCAGGGTTAACGTGGCAGTAAGCGAGGTCAGCTGTTTCCCAAGACGGAGCAGCCTCTGAACGGCTTGCATTAAGGCTGGAACAGCGCCGCCGAAGCAGCCAGAGTGATTTACGGGAAACCTGGCGAAGTTGGGCTTGCTCGCAGTTTCTGATCACGGAGGTTTTAGCGGGGGGCGCGGGGGTGGGGGGAGTAGTTACAGGAATACAGGACTTCAGTGTTAATGTTGAGGGGCCCCGGGCACAAGGCGATAGCTGGCCGCCCGATCTGAAGTTGTGTGTGTCTGCGTGTGTGTTTATGGATAGAGGGGGAGTGAAAGAAAAGAGATTGGTTTTATTTATTTTTAAGAGGTCTTATATATTCTTCCTCACTGGGCCAACTGGGATAATTAAGATGCCAGTTTTGGTATCAGCTTGAACTGATTCCTGCCTCTACCATCTGTGAGCTTCCTGTACCCTCTGGCATCCTGTGCACTGGTCCGAGAAAACAAAACTTTTTCAAACGTCTCCTGCTTGAGTTATTTCATCTCAGACACACGAATCAAAAGGAGTCTCCTGGAGTCTTCTGATCAGTCCAGGACGCCTTGCCAAATCCCTCCGAATGAGACACCGCCGGGCTCATTTTCTCTACTCATGGCTTTACTTTGGGCACCGCTTATTATTTTAATGAAATTGAAGCATGGCTAAATAATGGTAAGAGTAGTGATATATTAGGAGCGCGATGTAGTGAAACGTTTTTGCGCCTTGTACTCTGACATGGACGTGGACTGCTTTCCTGGGGTTTCCACATCTACACGTCCCCCACCAGGTCGATTCCAAGATACGTGAGTCTTCTCTTCTTGTGCGAGCACTTTATTCTCTGCCTCATGACACTGTACTTCAGGAAGCTCTGTGAAGTTTTCTTAAAATCCTGTACTACTCAGCAAACACACACACACACACACGCACACACACACACCCTGCCATTTACTTACTTATCCATCTATCTCTGCTAAACACACACATATAAAAAAAGGATTCTTAAGACAGGTATCAAAATGCTAATAGTTGGCTATCTTTGCACAGTAGGATTTTGAGAGTTGCGCATTTTGTTTTTCATGCTTTTTCTCTTTTCCAAATATTATATTGCATATCCAGTTGCAAATACTGTATTTGAAAATCGTATATAAGCTTATCTTTTGTAATCAGAAAAGATAAATGACATTAAAGAATTTTCTTTGGGGTAAAATGAATATAATCGCTGTTCCCACTCCTCCTAAAATGGCACCAGAATATATATGTTCTTGGTCGGGAAGAGAGACTAACCTCTTGCCACCCCTGTGACAAACCTGCGTTAGGAAACTGAATTAATATGATTATGACCATATGACAGGGTATTGGCCCCAGAAAGATGGTTGTATATTTTTATACAACCCAGAAAGAATTGTTGTATATTTTTAAATATTTTTTTGTATTTTTATTTTTTTACATTTATTTTTGAGAGACAGAGAGAGAAAGAGCATGAGCAGGGAAGGGGCAGAGGGAGAGGGAGACAGAGAATCCAAAGCAGGCTCCAGGCTCTAAGCTATCCGCACAGAGCCCAACACGGGGCTCGAACCCACGAACCATGAGATCATGACCTGAGCCGAAGTCGGACACTTAACCAACTGAGCCACCCAGGCGCCCCAAATGTTTATTTATTTATTTATTTATTTTAATTTTTTTTTTAATGTTTATTTATTTTTGAGACAGAGAGAGAGAGCATGAATGGGGGAGGGGCAGAGAGAGAGGGAGACACAGAATCGGAAGCAGGCTCCAGGCTCTGAGCCATCAGCCCAGAGCCCGACGCGGGGCTCGAACTCACGAACCGTGGGATCGTGACCTGAGCTGAAGTCGGACGCTCAACCGACTGAGCCACCCAGGCGCCCCTTATTTATTTATTGGGGGAGAGAGCATGTGGAGGAGGGGCAGAGAGAGACAGAGACAGAAAGAGAAGCCCAAGCATGCTTCACACTCAGCACGGAGCCCGACACAGGGTTCCACCTCATACCTGTGAGATCATGACCTGAGCCGAGATCAAGAGTCAGACGCCTAACCGACTGAGTCACCCAGGCGCCCCAGAAAGAATCACTGTAAAATAAAGAGTTCCCATTTCCTCCTCGTTCTTCCCCTTCCGATCCCTCACCAAGGGCAAGAGAAATGTGCTGGGCAGGGAGAGGGGGAGGAGGAGCTACTGACTAGGTCAGGAGATGGAGATTTGGATTTTCGTGCAATTATTCATGGATCCCCAATTGAGGTGAAATGCCCTTGGCCAGGCTAACCTTTTGCCCTCTTAGTATCTAGACCTGCTTGCTCTTTAGGGAGGTGCGGAAAAACATCTATCCTCGTGTAGAGGTAACCGTTGGGAGGTGCTTTGAATGAAAAGCCCGGCTTTCCCGGGAAAATTGGAACATCCTTTGGGTGAGCCAGTGAAAAAGAAAGCCAAGAGGATGAGAAGGGCAGAGGAAAAGGAGCCCGGATTCAAAGGTTGAGAAGCCTGTGTGTCTCAGTCATAAACCAGAAGCCCGCTTTTCTCTCGCACCCCTGCTTTCTTATGAATGAAATGTGAACACGTTTGCATGTAGGTCCTGGGTGCCCTGGAGTATCCCAGAGTGGAAGTTGTGACCCCTCCCAAGTGGCAATAATAACACCTGCCTCATGTACCCCAAATATTTCAGGGAAAAAAAATGAGTGGAGAGTAGAGTAGAAAATAATTGACCCAGAATGCCCAAGACCTGGTCTGTTCAACATTCACATTTTTAGAGCTGAGGTACATTAACTCCAAAGGAACACAGCAACTGAGGGGGGGAAAAGGCATCTTAGCTCACTTATATTTCAATGCTTTAAAATACGTGAACAGTCCTGAATTATGCATCGTGAATTAACCACTCTAGCAAATCATCCTCCAGCCATTTTAACGGGGGGATATTTTTGGAAAGGGGTGGTCATCAAAATAAATCCTTTCAGAACAATTCCATTTCTGGATGCTTCTGGATTTAGAGTCTTAGAAAAATGATCTATAAACATAGATCAAACTTACAGCTTCCTGGATCACCACCTCTCTAGATATGTTTGTGTAGATCAGTCCCTGGTCCACCTTTGTTTTCGCCTGTTTTATTTGCCTGAATCACCCTCTGTACTTTTCAAGGCTCACCTCAAAGACTACCTCTTCCATGATGCCTTCCCTGATGCTCCAACAAGATGGGGTATTGCCTTCATCTGAACCGTCATAACAACTGGGTTGTACTATTTCTTAGGTTCTGCCTTGAATGATAGTTCATTCACATGCGTGTCTTATCCACGTCCTTGAAGCCACGAACCGTATCTCACTCATCATTGTATGCCCGTATACCCAAGAGCATCTAGTACAGAACCTTGCACAGAACAGGTGCCTGGAATCCCCTAACGTACGGAACACGCATAGAAAGGCTTTAGAAGGCATTCGGGCAACCTTTTAATTTTTCTAAAGGGGAACCCGAGGCCCAAAGACGTAGAAGTGCTTCACCAGGGTCAACAGCTAGCCATGGCCAGCGTCGGAACCAGAACTTGGGTCCCTCGACCTGTCATTCCCCTAGAGCACCACCATGATCATCTGACAGCTTGAACTGACTTCAGATAGCTTCGAGAAGTGGGGGGTATTAACCTTGTGTCCAAAGGCTCAATGGGAGGGCCCAAACTCCTCTGAGGGTGGAGGGAGTACTACCAACCGCAAGAATAGCGGCCCAGCCGAGGAGCGTCCTATGTGCCAGGCACCGTGCTAGGCCCTTCACACAAGTTGCCTTGTTGTCATTGTCTGCTCAAAATGGCCACCCAATCTCAGAAGACTGACTTCTCTCCCTTTTTCCCTTCTAGGCTAATGGAGGTTGGCAGGATGCCACTACCCCTTCATCAGTGACCTCCCCTACAGAAGGCCCTGGCAGTGTTCACTCTGATACCTCCAACTGATCTCCCAGCAATCGCATCCCGGCTGACCCTGTGCCCCAGTCGGGACAGGGCCAGGAGGGAGGGTTTCTCTCCCAACGCTGAAGCGGTCAGACTGGAGGTCGAAGCAATCAGCAAACACAATAAGAGTCTCCTTCTCTTCTCTTCTTTGGGATGCTATTTCAGCCAATCTGGACACTTCTTTATACTCTCTTCCCTTTTTTTTTTCTGGGTAGAAGCCACCCTTCCCTGCCTCCAGCTGTCAGCCTGGTGCCCGCCATCTTTCCCGCCCCTTCCCTCTGTCCTAGACTCCCGGGGCCCCCGCCCTCTCTTACATCACGGAAGGATATTTTCAACCATTAGAGGAATCTAAAGAGGAAAGAAAATACAAAGAAAATAATAAACGTGTTTGTATGTTTTCACGCTGGTGGTTTGAGGAGCCAGATTTACCTCACTCGGATCCCTCGCTCCCTCTGTGAACAGGCAGCCCTTCTCAGTTTCTCTTCTTATTCTCACTACCTCTTAGCAGGAATGCGCAACGTTGCCCCACTCATTCCGGGCCCCCTGCCTTCTCTTGCTCTCCCCTCCCTGGGCCAGCTCCGCTTAGAACACTTCTTCCTCTTCCTCCCCAGCCCTAGCTGTGCCCTGGGGACTGCCATAGCTGGGCTTCTAAAGGTGCCACATTTTCCGGTCTCACCTCCACTAGGTTGATCCCCAGGCAGGAAGTCAAGCAGCAGGAGAGGACGGAAGCAACCAGAAGGGCAGAATTCTCGGAGACTTTCTCCTCCTTCTCCTAACAGCTCTTGGTTTCAGAGGCACAGTCTTTGGAGACCATGCAACTCTTAGTAAGCAAGGTCCAGAACCTACCGCAAAACCAGATCCGAGTGGGCATGGCGACGAACGAACCGCTACAGAGTAGAACGTTCTCACCCTGAAACCTTTCAACGGCACCTTCTCGCACACGCACGCGCGCGGTCTCACACGTTCACTTTCTCCAGATCCGTCACAGGCCGCTTGCAAAAATACCCACGTTAGCAACCGCAGCAATTAGCCCAGGAGAGGGAATTAGCGGCTCTGAGTGAGGCTCACCGAGACAGAGAAACAGCACGTGCCTGAACCTTCCAGGCCCCGCGGCCCCCCGGCTTGCACGCAGAACTGCATACACGGGACCAATCACGGTGGAAGCCAGGTTTGCAGTGTAAGCTCTTCCCGTTCCCAGCACCTCTGGACTCTCAGGGAGCCACGCACAGTACTTAGCAATGTCTGCAATGGCTTTGGTTCTGTTCTGGTTTTGTTTTTATATTAGGGACGTTGCATTAATTGTCCGGAGTGTTCCGTGGCGCCACATTCTTGTTCTGGAGGGGTTGTGTGAGCACACGGCCCAGGCACGTTTTGCCAGCTTCATTTGAAGACCTGGGAGCGATGGGGAAAGGGGCGGTGATGTTCTCCGTGAAATCGTCCCAGTGATTTTCATTCCCCGGGAATGTCTGAGAGAAGAGTTACGTACTAGAGAGTTACTCACTAGTGTCACCTGAGCTTACATTCCTCATAGCCAGCTGTGCCAGCGGGAACGATGGTGGCTCTGTAACTTGACTCAGTGGAAGCAGGTTGGTCAGATCTCTCAGTGCCTCATTTTCTTCATCTGTGAAATGGGGATTCTTAGGCCTGGCTTACCAAGAGGCTTGTGAGAGACCGAAGAAATTGATTTCATTCGTATGCGATCCGTAAACGTGAAGTCAGGGGAAGTGTTATCTCCAAACTAACCCAGTTCATGCCACGTAGGGGCAACATACGGTTTCCCTGTTCCAGCGTCTAGGTAGCATCAGTATCCCGAGGTCATTGCCACGATGACAAAGAAAGGAAGGGATGGTGTTGCTTTTTTGTTTGTTTTGGTCTGTGTGGTTCCATAGACTAGAGAGAAGCCTCCAAACTAGAAAAATAGGGCCCGGTTCTCTTCGTTTGTACTTGAATCCAGCACGTGGCCTTGTAAGTACAGAGTCCCCTGTCACACGCACTCTGCTTGAGAGGCCCGTGGGAGAAATATAAGACCCTGAGGGGCGAGGATGGCCGTCTAACAAGGTCATGGAAATCGTGTATGGCACTCCAGTAAGGAATAGAAACTTCTTGTGTGTACTGGGGAGAGGGGTTACCTAAGAGACAGGAAGGTGTGTGAATTTGAAGGAGAGGCAAAAAGTAAATCTTTGGCAAGATGGGATAAGGCCGTGATGACTAAAAGCAGTGGAAAGGTTGTGTCTGCTGACCTGTGCCCCAATCAGAACAGGGCTCGGTAGGGAGGCTTCTTGGCAAGAGCCATCTTGTGACCGACCACCCCGTAGTTGTAGAACCAGAGGAGAGTCTTGCTTAGCATCAGGAATCTAAACCACCCACACAGGAGGACAGTTGGAACACATGGCTGACTGAGCACAGTACAGAAGAGACCCAAAAGGGTTCTCTGGGACACAGGAAGAATGATTCCAGATTTGGGTTGAGTCATTGCCGTTTGAAGTTGATGACGCAGAGCAGAGCTGCATTTGCACAGACAGTTTCTCTCCCGCCGGAGTGTGCACTGATTCTCACCTCTCCCAGCACCTTCCCAACCCAGCACTTCTCTCCGCCCTGTCTGCTCCAGTTTTCTACCACCTCCCTTCCACGCCCTCCATCACGTCCAACATGGCAGCCGCCAGATCCCCCGACGGTAAGCGAAGCATGGGATCTCTGGCGGCAGAAGGAAGGGGATGGAGAGAGCGTGCCTCTGGAAATACAGCTCCCTGGGAATCCACATTAGGTCAATCCTACAGATACCAAAATGTGCCCCAGGACTCCTGCATTTTCTGACAGGAGCGAGAACGCTCCATCTTCCCTGGCAGCCGATTTCCCCTGAGAAAAAGTAGCCCTTGGGTTTGCCCACCTTGTAACTCTTCATCACCTCTTCCTCTTCATCCCTGACTCCTTCCCCTGGCGTGAAACTGACGCCTGTGCAGTACTTTGTGACAAGTGGCACCTTCCTTACATTGATTCTTTTTACTTTGCTGTGGTGGTGGTTCTTTATTTGCTGGTCGTCTTCTCTCACGTACCTTCCCCGCCCCCCCCCCACCTCT